CTACCAAAAAAAAAAAAAGAAAAGAAAAAAATTATATCCTGTACAAAACTATCCTGTATTCAATAAAGTTTATTGTCCAATCTTGGCTTTGGAGCGTTCACAATACAACTGTAATATAAGCCTTAGCAATAAAATGAGCACATCCACAAAATAGTCCATGACACATCTGAATACAAAAATTGAAATATTCTTATAAAACATTCAGACACAAGATTGATAGATGGATACAATCTTTTATTCTTTTTTTTTTTTGTACCTTTCCATTTATTCCAGAAAAACTTTCTATAAAAAAATCATTGCTTCTTTTGGAATAAATCTTTAAAATCATTTCTTTTAAAATGCATCTTTCATTTGTACAACTCTAGTTAAATATATTACTGGTATTCTGCAAATGAATCACACCAGAGAACATTCACAGTATGTGTATCCTCGCCGCTTGGATCTATTTTTCCTGCTGTAGGCTGTAGGACAAGCATAATGCTGAGGAGGAAAGAAGGCAATGAAGAAACCAGAAAGTGGGTTTCATAGTGTTTGTGCCCAGACATCGCTACCGGGGAGTGCTAAGGGGACATCCAAACACATTTCTTACAAGACTCGAGCGTACAGAGGCAGGACGGCGGTGCGGCACGGCCGGAGCAGCACGGTCGGGCAGAGAGCCACAGCTTTCGGCAGGTGAGATCCTGTCACTTTTAACCTCAGGTATTTCGGGCTCAAGACCTGATGGCCCTCGCAGGACCCGCTCAGCCATCGCTGGCTCCGTGCTCTGAGCAAACCTGGGCTTGCGTGGCTGCAAGATGCCAGATTTAGGCTGGTGAAAGCAGAGTTTGGCCACGTAAGGCCGGGCACGCTCCCACCCCCAGGTCCGGTCCCTTCCCCGTCCTTGGGACACACACGTTAAACCTTTTACTTTCCTCAGTCCAGTGGGTTAGACTCTTTCTTTACTGTTTTCCCACCTGCCTGTTCCTAGCCTGCTCTGGGAGCTCTGGCTCCTGTTTTATGCTAGCCTAATTTCTGACTGAAGATAAGTCATGGGGAAAAAAACAAAACAAAACATTTGAGAAGCTTGGGAAAACAGCCTTCCAATTACTTTTTTTTTTATCATGTGTAAGGGGGAGGAAAAAATCCACTTTTTTTGTCCTTAGTCTCCAAGATACAATGTAGTTTTGTTATTTAAAATCTTGACACAGATCTGGCAACGGTTTGGGCCAGGAAAGGCGTGTGTATGGAGAGAGTGAAATTAAATAGCTCTGCCTGTAAGTTTTATTGTTGTCCCGTAACACAGACCTTGCTTTACACATTACTTTACTTACATTTCTTTAACTAGCTATCAGCTGGAGAGACGAAAGAATACAGCCTTTCCTGAGGGCACAGCCAAAACTCCATTTTCCACCAGAACTGGTAAAAAAAAAAAATTGCAAGAAAAATGTCTGGAAGACAAAGCAACAGTTTCCTTTTGTCAAAACTCCCCATCTGCGAGGAGGGCCAGTTACTCTGCAAAGTGACGGATGGGAGAACACGTGAAATGAAAAAAATGCCGGCGAGCCACAGACATTCCCAGCATTTTCATTAGCGCTACTTTAAAAAAATCCAACTTAAGAGCCGGCTGGCGATCCAAACGCTAGGGAAAGCCTGCCCGGGGATGAGCTGCCGGAGCAGGCAGGGAGCGATGCCATCGGCAGCGGGAGCCCTGCTGCAGATTTCCTCCCCTTGCGGGGAGGAGCGGGGTACCGCTCTGCTCGGGGCTTCTATAAACCGGGGCATCCACGGGATCTTGGTCCTCATAAACCCAACCGGACCCCGCGCTCCTCAGGGGGACTGTAACACTATCCAGGAGATGGAGAAAGGGGGATTCGGCTCCCGGCACTGATCGCTGCCAACCTGCAGCTCCTTTTCTTCGCGGTCGGGAAGGTTTGGCGGGCAGCGTGCCGTGGGAGATCAGACGCTCGGGGCTCTGCCAGCCGACACGTGCAAACGCAGCAGCGACAGGAGCTTGTAAATCGAACCTCGCTCGGTGAGGCACCAATATTTACACACGCTATCGCCCTTCTGAATAGGAATCAAATATCCACTAGATGTGGTGGAACAAAAGGGGTTATCTTAAATTCAGGCTGTTAGTAGCACACAGGGCTAGTCAATAATAGTGTCTCCTTCAGGGAGGACTTGTAGGAGGAAAGGCAAAGGCTATGCAAGAATAAACAGCAGCTAACAGGCCCTTTCTCTTTGCTATCTGATCCCGGGTAAAGCAGTCCTGTCTACACGGTCATTGCTAGGTCTTTTCCCCGACGTTTCTCCCCAGCGGTTCCCGTAGGTGACCTTGACCTTCAAGAGGAATACCTCTCTTACACGGGGAGACCTGAGAGCACACCGATCTGGTGGTCCAGCATGGTCTGCCTCCGTCCTCCCGGCGTGAAAGCAGGACGGCTCAGCTGGGCACCCGCTGCCCCAGCACGCTTTATGCCCAAGGCAATCTCAGCGCATGGGGATGGTAACGCCAAGCAAGAAAACTGCACGAAGACAGGTCGAACGTGTCCTGAATGGGCTTCCCAAGAGTGGGTGGAGGGGGTTCCTGCTCCCTCCGGTCCGATCTGTGCTCACAGACCTCAGGGGAGGCTCTGACCCCCCCGGGGACGCCAGCACTTTTCGCCCCGTGTACCTGAAGGTGCTGCCGCAGGGGCAGACGCTGCGCCCGTGAGCTGGCCTGCCTGCTGAGCTGCTAATTCCCGATAGGAGCTGGCTGCCCTGGGAAGTGCAAGTCTGCACCGCAGATCCCTGCCATGCCAAGGAAATTCCTGTAGAAAATGCCTTTGTGAAAGAAAATATGACAGTGCGAGAGTTCAGACTTACTCCAGCCAACACCTCCCTTTGCAAACCTCCCTACTGAAAAACCCCATGCAGCAGGAACCGGGTGTAGGAAACCAGGCAAAACGCTACCCTGACATCAGGGTGAAATGCGTCACTGGTGGCTGATGGCTATTCATGCTCTTCCCTATCAAATGGAAACAATTAATGAACTATTCAGCCTGCCGTATGCTGGACATACCGAGAAGGGAACTGAGTAGGGATGGGCAAACCTCAAACAATGCAGACGTCTGGATGCTTGTCTAGGACAAACCCGAATTAACAGCTTTGGTCTGATGGGGGAAGCTCGGAGGGCGCATCCAGCACTGGCACAGGGAGGAGTCACCCCAGAAGCTTTGGGAGGCTTGGGGGTCTCCGTATTTATCCTCACGCTTTGCATTTTCCAAGGATCACAGAAGAAATGCTGCAGAGCAAAGCAGAAAACAGAGCCCTCTGTCCCTGCTCGATGGGAAAACAGTGGCATGGAGAGTTACCGTCCCCTGAGCAATGCCTCCCAGGCTGGGAGCGTGACAGGTTAAGACATCAATCAGCATGTCCTGCCAGTGCCAGTGCCCGGTGACAGTCACAGCACCTGCCAAGTCCAGAGTCTCCTGGCCACATCCATGGGCTGGAGGACCGATGGGCGAGAGGACTAGTCATCTGGGACAGCCAAGAAAAGGATGTGAATATTATACAGTAGAAAGACTTCTTGCAACACTCACACACTCGAAGACGTTTCGGGCTGTTTGCAGGCTGTGGGGGAGAGGTGCAGCAGGGCCTCTTCGCTCAGGATGGATTTGGCACGTTCCTGAAGCGGATGGAGAGGAAAACGCACCAGGAGCAGTCCTCGGCCAGCAAAGCACGCTCAGATCTAAGCACACACCTCAGTCTCACGGCATCGATCTGAGTCAGGGCTGGTATGATCTGGCGTTGGCTACAAATGTAGAGGCCAGGCGAAGAGGTTTGAGGGATGATTTGCTTCTCTCCGGGTCTATTTCTGGTCCCCACAGCTGAGCTGTGGGAGGTTTGGCACCTCTCCCCCTTCCTCTGGGTAGAAATGCACTGAGGTGGGTGTGTGCAACACTTTGGTACGGAGAAGCTGCACGGCTCGGGCTCTGCCACGTCGCACGGGGCTCGGCGACGGGACGGGGGGAGATGCGCTTGTCTGGGAACCGTGTCCTGCCCCTTGTGATGATGGCGGAGAGGGTCCCGGGCTGGGGGGGCGGCAGGCTCGGCGATGAGAAAGGGGCTGCTCCGTCGGTGCTTGGGAAAGGCTGGCTGAAGGGCTCAGCGCAGCAATGGGAGGCAGCACGGAGCTGATGCTCATCTGCCCCCGCTTCTGCACAGCCCTACCAGCAGGTACCCCAGGAGGGATAAGCCAACCCTTGGTCTCAGCTCAGGACATCCCTGGGGAGCAGCCAGCTGACTGAATTTGGAAATGCAATGGTGGCAAGGAGGGGGAGATGCTGGGGGAAGCAAGGGGAAGCCCCCTCCTCCCAGCTGCTCCATCCTTGCCAGGATTCAGGTATCAAAGATGGGGAGAGAAAAAAGGGGTATGTAAGCAGAGGCAAGGGCAAATAAAGGAGGGCTGCCCTGGTTTTTGTGCTTCAGGTGCAGTCTCTCCAGTGCCAGGCTGGGTCATGCCCCCGACTCGTAACGTGGCTGCAAAGTGTCTCCCCAAGAAACAGGGGGTGCAGAGCAGGTTGTCCGAGCAAAGGTACTTTTTCCAAAATGCCTGCCTGGGCCAAACGCTACGATCCACCGCCCAGCTTTGGAGATACCACTCTCTGCTCACAAAACCTCCCCATGCCCAGCTCACCCCCCCAAGGGCAGCGAGCGGTTCCCTGGGGCAGCTCACGATCCTGCGCTCCGGGCAGTGCCCAGGGCAGCTCCTCACTAGAGCACCTGCACAAGAGGGCAGCGGCTCACGTCTGATGGGGGCAACGTGAAAACAAGAGGGGAAAAAGGCCACAGGTCCATCAACAGCAGCTGCTAGGGGCTGTGGTTGTGGGGACAGGCAGGGGAGAGCCTGTGGCCAAGGGCGCTTCAGCATCATCCTGCTCGAGTCAGTAATTCTGCGGTGGGTCAGGTGGGAGCGTGTTGCCGTCTCCTTTCTCAGTGCTTTGATCTCCATGGTGACAAGGGGAACGCGAGATCCGAGTTTAAAATATACTCTGCCTCCTGTTCTTCCCTCGGGCTGAGGAAGAGAGAGAGAGATGGGTCAGAGAGGGCAGACGGTGAGTGACACTTTGCAGAGAAGCCGAGCCCTGCGGGTTAGGAGGTTACGAGCCCACGGCATTCACAGAGGAGGTCCTCGGGACACCTAGATGTGACTTTGGTACTGTGGTAGGTGACAAGCAAGGATGTCCCGGGGTAACTTGTGGACTAAAGCGGGGGTCAGGGATCAGGTTTGGCTTTTTCCTATGTGGGACCCACTGGGAGTAACCTCAGTGCCAGCACGGTCCGTGGCACCACCTGGGAGAGGTCAGCATGATTTTCCCCAGTCCTACCTGACTGCTGGAAGGCTGAGCCTCGGTAGCCAGGGTCCTTTTGAAGCTGAATCTCCTTCAGGGAGAAGATGGAGACGTCTAGGCAGAGGGGACAGAGAGAAAGGGGTCAGTCCAGCTGGCTGAGCCAGCAGCAGTCTGCAAACCCAGAGCCAGGAGGGACAGCAGCGCCCAAATGCAGCACTGCACCTCATCAGAGCTTTCCTTTCACACTCACTCCTACTCTACACCGTCCTGCCCAAAACCGTTTCTTGCTTTTGCAGCCCCCAAGCTCCCACTCCACCCTGCTGCAGAAGCACCCATTTCCTCGGAGTAAGCAAAGACAGGAGGCATCCCGAAGAGATCTGGCTGCAAACCATCACCCTCGGGCTGCGCAGAAGCTCTTTGCTCCACATCCCCCAGGCGAGAGGACAGCCTGCACTTACTGTCAGGCAGGAGGTGCACCCGCTCTCCCAGGCTCTTGAAGTAAGCGTGCCGCAGGGCTGCCTCCGCCGAAATCCGGCCTTTGGCTTCGTACTGCACAAAGTCCCAGAGAAAGGCAATTACATACAGTCTGCATGTGCGAGACGGCATTCAAGTGGGCACAGAGGCCCCATACAGGGTGTGTGCACATTTGTGCACCTATGCACATGTAAGTCCCCAAGCAATTTCATATGCCGCGTGGGTGGCAGTGTGTCCAAACACTGTGCTCACCATGGGGGTGTGCAGGCAATTACTAGTACCATTTGCATGTGCACAAGGGACAGCACACACTGTGTGACTGTGAGTGCACTAGTCATGTCGTGCCTTATGGATCATCAGGTTTGTGTCCTCTCACTTGTGTGAAAGGACACAGGGTGAAGGATGATTCACCATCCTTAGTGGTTGGGATTAGCACCTACAATGCCATAGCTGTAGGGCTATGACTTATTCTGCAGTCGCAGCTCGTCTCCTGCCTGGCTCCAAAATCAGTGTGAGGGCAGCCAGAGTACCTTCACTTCAGCAATTCCCTTTGCCATCGACCTGGACTGCTCTACCACTCACCAGAAGGAGGTTCATCAGCAAGTCAATCCCTTCTGAGTCCAGCCTTAGAGAAGGAGGAAATGAAAAACGGAGCATTATTGCACCCAGGAGACACTGCAATCGTCAATGCAAGGGACAAGTGGCAGCTGGGACCTCCAGTGCACAGCTGCATTCAGAAGCTGCCGGCACCCCAAGGAGGAAACGAAACTGGTCTCCCCAGGCTCCTGTTTACGACCAGCGCAAGCCCACCATGCCTTACGTGTCCCTGCTCAAGAAGGTACCTTGGAGCGTGATTTATTAACGGCTGGGCTCGGTACTGGGTGAAATTGTAAGCCTTAAACTCCTCGTTGGATGCTATTCCAGGCCAGGTGTCTTCTGTTGGGGTTCCTGAGAGGGGGAGAGAGGGAAACCTGTCATCCTCACTTGGTGCAGAGAGAAGAGCCTCATGCATGCGAATGCCAGGATCCTGCCCAGGAGAGAGAGGGCACGAATATCCCCGGCAGGCTGGGATTCGCCTGCGCATCCCACGGGGCAGCCGGCGAGGAGCTCCTCGCCCTCACACCTCTGCTTGACTGCAAGCCTGGGGGGAGGCTGCAGGCAGCCTCTGCCCACTCCTGCCCACGCCTGCCCACTCCTGCCCACGCCTGCCCACGCCACTGCAAGGCTTTGCCAACGGGCTGGGCTCCCTCCAAGCTTCCGAGGCTGCGCTTTGTCACCGCTCCTGCAGTCAGCCACTGCCCTCGCGTGGGGATTTGGGAGACAGCAGAAGACTCACCCAGCAGCCTGAAGATCAAATGCAGCTCTTCTTTCACCGTGGAACCGGGGAACATGGGCCGGCCGGTGACCATCTCATAGTGGATGCACCCAACACCCCTAAAGCAGCAGCAGAGGCTCTGGGATTAGCGAGGGAGAAGCCCTGGGGATGCCCCACCACCCCTTGGCCAGGGCTGAGCTTCCTGGAGAACGAAATGAGCTCCAGGAGCTGTATCCCCAATCTGTTACGGGTAACCGTTCACCCCTGATGTGGACAGTGTGCTCCAAAGACCTTGAACGCCAGGGGTCATGGAAAACAGCGTGGTCCCTGGGAGAGCCCACCACCCTCTGGTGTCACCAGCACTGTGGGCACGTATGGTGCTGCACTGGCGGACGGATGGAAATGCCCGACCCACCGTCCCGGAGACCCTGGGAAGCTCGGTTTGGACCCATGGCTCACCACATGTCGATGGGTGTGGAATATTCTGTAGATCCCAGCAGGACGTCGGGGGGCCGGTACCACAGCGTGACCACTTCATTAGAATACGTTTTTGTAGGGACTGACTTGGCTCTGGCTAGTCCTGAGGATGAAGGGGATGGGCGTCAAGGAGCTGCACCTAGCTGCACCTTCTTGCAATGCTGCACCTTCCCCAGAGAGGTCCACCTACCAAAGTCAGCCAGCTTGAGCTCTCCTCTCTCGTTGATGAGCAGGTTCTGGGGTTTGAGGTCTCGGTGCAGGATCTTTCTCCCGTGACAATAAGCCAGACCACGCAGCAGCTGGAACATGAAGATCTGTGGGGAGGAGAAGGGGCTGGCATTTAGCACTGGAACACGGGCACCAAAAATGAGTCTGTCTCAAGGGCTCTTAAAGTCATGGCCCGGAAAGACCCCCTCGAAGCCGGCCTGGTGTGGGACACACTGTAGACAATTGTTCAGGCCCATCACCAGCAATCCCGAAAAGGGGCTGAACAAAGTCTGCATGCACAGTCATTTTATTTAGGGTGGCAGTGACTTGGAGAAAACCTTGTGGAGCATCAGAGCAGGCTGAAAAAGGTCAGAGTTAAGAAGGCTGAAGTGAGGAGAGAAGGGGTATCCAGCCTCACCCAGCCCTGTAACACCCTAGACTGCACTCATGTGGGGAGAGGCAGGGGTACGGGGTCCCAGGCAGCACCGTCTTACCTTCACGTTGTGCACGCTCATCAGGTTCCCACAGTTGTCGAGGTACTGTTTGAGGTCGTTGTCCTGCAAGAGGAAGCACACGTCAGCCTGTCCTTCCCTCAGCCCCCATCGCCCACCTGCAGAGGGGCAACTGCCCCCCTGCTGCCGCAGAAAGCCCCTCCAGACCCACCAGGTACTCGAAGACGAGGGTGAGGGAGCGCTCCGTGTGGATGATGTCGTGCAGGGTCACGATGTTGGCGTGTTTCAGGTTTTTCAGCAGTGACACTGCGAGGAGAGGAGATGGCAGGTTGGGGCAGCAGGACCTGGATACGGCTCGACCTGCACCACCCTGTCCCAAATCCGCCAGCATTGCTCAGGAGGGCTGCGATGGGGAAAAGCCCCTCCTGCCCTCACCTTCCCGTATGGCCGTGCAAGGTGCCCCTTCCTCGTGCTCCAGGCGGATTTCCTTCAGGGCAACGAGGTTTTCGGTCAGCTTGCTGCGTCCCTTGAAGACAGTGGCATAAGTGCCCTGGGTTGGGGGGAGAGAAAATACAAGCCATGCAGACCATTTACCAGGGTGGCACAACACTGATATACTCCATAACATTTGGAGGAAGGATCATTTGAAGCTACAGGGCCAAGTCTGAAGTCCACAGAAAGACTTGGTCTAAAAATTGCGAGGTATTGAAGAAATTTGGCTACAGTCTGCCCTTTGCACTTCAAGCTGCCCTTCTAACAATTTAAATCCTTACAGGGTTTCATAGTCTACTCACCTCTCCCAGTTTGTCCAGTTTAACATAGGTTTCCAGCTTCCCAAACCCAATATCTGACTGTAAGAGAGAAAGGAAAACATCACTGGGAGGGATCTCATCCAGGGATGGCTTCACCTCCGGGGGGAAGGTCAAGGACACTGGACAGGAACAGCTTTGAGGGCAGATCAGGTGTTTGCATGCAGAAGCCCAGCTGATCTAAGTAGATAAAGTCCATTACTTTCCTGGAGAAGCCCTGCAGGTGACTAGGCAATCAATCAGAAAACCTTCATAACCCACTGGCTGCTTCAGTGAAATGGATGGCGCCTGCATCCCGTACCCCAGGGCGGCCGCAGCCTGCACGACTGCCCCTTCCCGCTGCCACCCCTGCAATTCCCTTCTCCTCTCATCCACCACCCTGACATGCCCCCAGCAGCGGCCGAGTCAAACAGGAGCCGTGATTTGCAAAGAGCTGATGCCTTTTCTATGGCAGAAGCCTCGTGGGATCCTGCTGCCGATGCCCAGCCCTTTTCTTGAGTGCTTTCCTATGTCCTGGTTTTTACTGACTCCTTTCATTTCTCTGTGTGCTGTTTAAATCAAGCGTGAAAGGGATATTTTCCCATTTGGAACAGTAACTCTTTAACATATTGCTGAGACCTGCTCTCGTGTACCCGGTGAAAGAAGGGCAACCACTGCAAGGCCACAGATTTAGGCGTCACTCCTTAGCAGACCCCTGAAATTGCAGTTTTCTGTGGGGACAGAGGCACCTCCTTGGTTAGTCTGGGTTATCTGTGTGCCAGGGCAGGCCCCCCAACCCAGCACCACTGCCCCCCTCTCCTGAGCCAAGGGCCCATGCCATGCCACCCACCATCAGCAGATGGAGCTGGATGGACAGCTGTCAATCAGCAGGCAAAGATAAGGGCCGTGCAGGGAAAGGATCCCCTGGGGGAGGCACTGAAGGAGCCCCCCTACACTGTGCCCAGGGCTCTGCCGGGAGAATCAGCAGCCCCAGGTCTGGGATGCTCTCACAGCATCCCCTGCTCACCAGATCTGCCCCACGGAAAAGGCTTTTTCCTTGCAACAAGCACTGACCACACCACCAAGCTCTCACAAGCTGCTTTCTTGCAGGCTGCATATGGACCAGCAAATCCCAAGGGAACATAGTGTTTTTTTAATGCCATTTTGGCTTCCCCAAACCCTCTGCGCACCCTGGGAACAGATGTGTCCTGAGCAGGGAAATGAGGTGGCTGCTGCAATCTGAGGTGCTGTACACCCCCCAGAGCCATACTGGGAGCATTGCAGGAGCATGCCTTATTCATGGGGGGGACCATGAATATTAATGACACATTGCTCTGGCTGTGTCTATTTTATTGATTAGACAGAACAGGGAGGTAAATGCAAGCTCTCCTCTTCTCCTCCCTCTCCCTGAATAGGCATGCCAGATCTGAAGACGCCTGCTGAGACCTCGCTGTTGTATCTGTATAGCACTGAGCACTCCTGGGCAGCAGGACACAAGCTTGCACATTTGTAAACAGGGCACCGGGTTTTTGCTCCTACATATGCTGATGCTCTGCAGTAAAGAAACTGAAATGCCAACACTGATGCAAAAGCTAATTCATTATTTATCGGCATTTGCATTTCAACTAGCAGAGGCTCTGGCACTTGCTAAACCGCGGGAGGCTTTCCGCCTCCTATTTGGAAGGAGCCAGGCCAAGAGGAAAGCCAGGTGTGTGCAGAGGTGAGTGAAGGAATGTGCAGGCCTGGGGATTTGCACAGCAGTACGCAGATGTGCATGCGTAGGAGTGACGCAGGGGAAGAGATGCATATGTGCATGGTAGGGGGAATGTGTGCTGCTGGGAGCGTGCAGAAAGGGATTTTCATGGGCAGGGATGTGTGCGCGCGTATCTCCATGATGCACAGGCGGTACAAGTGAGCTTGCACAGCAGGGCATGACTGCATGGGTGGGTGGCAACCAGCACATGCATCTGCTGGCTGGGACTTGTATGCACGAAGCGAGACGCTGTGCCCGGTACTGCTCGCTCTGCAGGGTGAGACTTACGAGGGAAGCCCGTCGGGACATCCTGCTGAGGGGCTTGGGGAACTCCGGGCTCTCCATCTGCAGCTTCTGCAAGAACTCGGGGGGCAGGCGGATGTCCATGGGCAGGGAAAGACGCTTGCTGACATCCTGCGGAGAGGGCCAGAAGAGCGGGCGATGAATGCATCAGATGACAGGAGGACTGTCCAGAGACATTCAAGGGGAAGTGCTCTCTAACCAGAGCTGGTATTAATGACGAAGCAACGGGTGCAGCTTCTGTGGGACCCTTAGTCAAAGGAAAAAGGAAGGTGTGCGTGCATGCACGTGCATGGGGATGCGCACTGGGGTTGTCAGCTACTATGGGAGTCACGTTGAGTGCACCCAAGAGGACATCAGGGCTCGTGTCTGAGGCTGCCAGGTCCCCACGAATCAAACACCGTTTTTTCCAGCCAGCAGGCAGGTGACAACCAGAACTTGCCACGTCCCTTCTGCCCGCTCCAGCCTGCAGCGGTACTTGCCTCCATGGAGAAACGGCGCTGGTTGTTGTTGCGGTAGCGCACGGCCATCGGGGACTGGCCTTCCACCTCAGAGGGGGAGATGGGGCTGGTGTCTGCTCGGAAGTCCCTGCCCAGATGTCCCAGCTGCAGGTGCCCTTGAGCCAGGTCTGAGGACAAAGAGAAAGGAGAGCAAGCTGCTGGAGTGGTAGCAGATGTGCCAAGGCCCAAGGCACTTGCTTTGGAGAAAAGAGAGTGAGAGCAGGGCAGGGAGGTCCGGAGATGCTCTGGGGCCATGGGAAAGTCTTCTTCCTTTTCTATATCCAGGAGGCAGAGGGAATACCTGCTTTTCGCTCCAGACTCCTGGTGCATCGCCACCGCACAGCTCTGCTCAGCAGCACCCCCAAAGTGCCCTCATGAAGCCCCCTGCAATGAAGGTCTCTTTTGACAGATGAGGAGGGGAACTGCTTCACACCCAAGGCCACCCGGATCTCCCACGTCCCAGTCCAGTGCTCAACCCACCAGGCAGCTCACCCCTCTGCAGCAGCACCACAGGGTTTTGCATGGGTGAGCATTCATCTTAACTTTCCAGCCTTATCTTCACTAAAGTCACATTAGACAAAACATGATTTGCGCTTTAGGAACACCTTGGTGCCTGACCGTGGCTCTGGATCCCTCTGTGCTAGGTCTGTACAAAAACAAAACAGAAAAAGAGCCCTGCCTCTGGGGAGCTTACAAGCACGCGTACCTAATCTGCCTCAGGAACCACCAAAACTAACAGACATCAGGGTACTTTCCTCCAAGGATGTGACCGTTTCTCAGAAGGTGTTTGGGATTAAAGGCTGCAGAGTCATTTACTGTAAAACAAAACACTCCAGGCTTTCCTGCCCCAACCTGCTGCACTTTACCAGACACACAGTCCCCAGAAGCACAAAAGCTCTCTTGAAAACCAAAGCAGTTCAGAAAAATAACTCTTCTCTTGGGACTCCAGGTGTGAACCCTCACTGAGCCCGAGAAACCCTGAAAGGAGCAAGAAATCAGAACAAAATAAGCCATTGAGCTCCCTCTGGTCTCCAGTTTGAGGCTTGCACTTAAACCTCCTCACTCTGTAATTACCAGCTGGTTGGTAGGAATATTCTGGCATGCATAGACCCAGACACTGGCACAGCAAAACACTGAGGAGTTCAATGCAGGTCGCCTGGACCCCAGTGAAGTGGACTTCCCCGACTCACATGGATGCCATTCAGATGGAGGCAGCGCTAACTGGGTGTGCTGGGAGGGAGGAGCCAGGGCTAACTGGGTGTGCTGGGATGGAGGAGAACCACCTCCCCAAGGGAGGGATGCAACTCCCTCTGAAAAGGTGTAGGACCAAGCAGGGACGACTTGCCAAGCCCTTTCCCTGAGCTGCACAGAGACAATCCCCTGCTATGCCTAATGCAGATTTCGGCACACCGATCCCAATGTGTTCAGGCAGCCAGCGATGATCTCATTGCTGAAGACTGGAGAAAGAGGGCTGGCTTTCACGGGGTGGTGAGCAGGGCTGAGACCTGGCTGCAATTTGCTCATCTGATGGATGAGAGGTGGCAGGCAAGTGACCTGGGAAAAGATGCGGTTTTGTGCCACGGTCACTGGGGGACCAGGGGACCCGTGAGCTAAGGGATGCAGGGTGTCCTCGACAGACAGCCCGCACCTAAGGGATGGGTTCAGCCCACGCCACTGGGCTCGGGAGCATCTGAAACAGTGCCAGGAGATTTTGGGCAGCCAGGCAAGAACAAGGCAGAGTCACCCCTTCTCCCAGGACCGCTGCGGGACTCTGGTCCTTGTCCCTTTCTGGCCATCTGTTTGTGCAGGAACAGTTTGGAAACTTACCCTGAATTAATCACAGGAATGAAGTTAACGTGGATCAATTAAACTGGATCAAATCTTTTTAACTTGCCCATTTCCTAAGTAAATTATCAAAAAGAACCCTCAAAGGCCATTTAAAATCTGACTGAATGGAGTTCAACTAATCTACTTTAAATGATAGTTTGGGTGAATTTGTGCTGGTTCCCATAGGTAAACAAGCCAAAAGTCTTGGGAAAAGATGCAGCCTGCCCTGAAAGGTGCAAACCAGCAGCACTGTCTCTCTGAACCAGCAACCCACCAGGTACATTAGTGTCAATCTCTCCTCATCTACAAGAGCATCAGATGTAAAGCCAGAGGTAAAATGACAAACTGGACATTCTAGCGCATGCAAAGAGGAATGGGATACGCAAATGATGTAAACTACCGCAGGATGGGAAAAACACGTAAAAATACACAGAAGACTTGCAGAGATGAGGGAAAAAGTGTTTTGGCTGCCCTGGGGCCAGAAAGGGCAGGTGGGATGTCCCAGCCCAGTCCGTCCTGTGTTGTTGCGAGGTGCCCCCAGCACCCAGAGATACCCAGTCCCGCAGAGATGCTCTCGCAGGGCTGGGGTTGCCCCTGTGCCTGGAGGACCTTGCTGGGTGCTCGCGGGAGGAGACGTGAAGCTGTGGGCATGCAAACGTGAGGGCCTGTTTGATTCTGCTCGGCATTTCATGTGGATTATGGTGATCCCTGACACTCTGCAAATAATGAGGCTGCATGGGATATCAAAGCAAATTAAAGTGAGACCGCAGACACGGCGGCTGCCTTTGACGAGCCTCCCGCCTTTTTTTATAAATATATTTAAACACTGCCTCTGCCAAAACAAGCTTTGATCTCCCAAGGAAAGGGGCCAGAACCTTTCACTGCTTGCCTGACTTACAACTTTTAATTACTTTGCTAAGTGTGAACTCTCCTCTCAAAGCTCTGTTACACTCATGAGGCAGGGCTGCACTCAGATCTTGGATTATTCATCCTCCTTCCTCCCCCTCATCATCACTTCTTTGTGGCCTTGCACTCCAAAGGCCAGACCTAGCTCTGATTTATGCCATTGCAAACCAGGAGTTACGCAGGATTTGCAGCACAAATACTGCGACCTTCTCTGGCCTCAGAGGACAGATCAGGTAGTAGCTGTTTTGGGGCAAAGCCTTGGCATAGATAGGAGCTGTTGCTGAATGCCACCAGCTCTTATCAAAGCAAATGGGAGACACCAAGACCTCATACCTCTGAAAATCTGGAGTATGGAGAGGAATGGGTGACTGGGGAAGCCCAGGAGGAAAGGAAGGAGCCTCTCTGCCTTCAGCCTTAATGTGAGGCTGGAGCAGCCATGGAGAAGGTTCTTCATCTCTGAGGATGAGGAGATGGTGCTGGCCTTTCTCAAGGACATCAGATACTGCGCAGAGCCCAGCTTGGGCTCTCCTTAACCCAGGGGCTTTCGTCTGAGCAGCCGCCGTGGCTGAGGACAGGCTGTGCTGCCCAGGGGAGGGATGCACGGCAGGGTGGGGGGGCATCGGACGCCCCGAGGCAGGCTGCAAGAAAATTAGGCTCTGACCACAGGCACCCCCTTTCCCTCCCTGCACTGTCAGACTCCGCCAAGGTGACATTGCCTGTGACGGGATGTGTCCAGGCTGGAAAGCTGTTTGCTTTTCCATTTGCCAGCTCTGCTTCTCTCAGACCTTATTTTATCAGCCTCTGTGGGTGAAGTCATGAGAATTACCGGACGGAGAGGACAGAGCTGGGGATTTCCCACCGGATCACCGACAGACGAGGCAGGGCTCTACCCACGAGAAGGCCTTGCCGTGTCCTGTTGCCAGAGCCAGAGCAGCTCTGCACATGTTCTGGGAGCATTTCACGAGAAGGTCTTCTGGCCTCTGCATCACCCTCCTCCCCAAGGACAGGCGGAGGCACTCGCAGCCCCCAAAGTGCAGGATTTGCAGACTGCCGTGACCTGTGAATGCTGATAACCTGTGATTTCTGATGCTGGAGGGAAAATAAAAACTGCAAGCAATTCCCTGAGGAGCTCTGTGAGGTGATGAAAGAAAAGATGATGTGCTGATCTCTGCTGTGATTAGCACTCTTTTCTGGAGCCAGTGATCACAGTCCCTGAACTGTCACAGGTCATCTGCTCACCAGGAGAGAACAGAGCACTGCAGGCAAGCCTGCCTGCCCTGCAGACGGCCGAGAGAGCCCCAGGGCCACGTTCAGAGATCCCGAGCAAGGAAGGTGAAACCTGAAGCAAAGCTCTTTCATGGGGAAGAGAAGCAGCACAAGAGTGACTGCCACGGCTCTAGTCTCAGCTCCGCTACCAGCTTTCTGCACAACTGTAGCAAAGTCGTTTTGCCCCTCTGCACTTTGATTTCTCCATCCGTAAAAGGGAGGAGACCAACACCTCCGAGAGAACTAAAGTCAGAGCCCTCTCTGCACCAGGCAGCTCCCCAAGGTCCAAACCTCACCACCAAACCCTGCAGGAGAGCAACTTGCACGCAAACCCCCTTCTCATCCCCTCCAGCACCACCAAAACGATCCCGTCCCCTTACACATCTGAAGCATCACACTCCCACGCCGTACCCCAATGCCTCATCACCCCGGGGTGCTGGGGGTCCTGCCCCCCCCCAGCTCTGCCCCTCGGCACTGATGCCTCCAGCTTCCCTTTGCTGAGCCCCCGCCAAGTCCTCTTGGCACAGGGATGTGGGCAAATAGCTCCCAGCCAGGAGTGGTTTATTAAACAGCCGAAGAGATGCCTCAGACAAATGCGGCTGTCAAGGCTCTTCATAAACAACAGCCGCAGCCTGCAGGAGACGGAGATTAAGGGCACTGTGGAGGTGACTTCTCGGGCTTGTTTACAATCCCCAAGGGAAACTTAATCAAGAGATCTCGGGCAGGAGGGAGCAGGATCCGGGTGGTGGGTATGGCAGGGGCAGCGCGTTTTGCCTGTGCTGCGTGGGAGAGGGCTCCGGTGCAAACTGGGAACCGTGCGGTGGGGAGCAGGGGGGGCAGCTGGGAGGGAAAGCTGCGGCAAGGGGCCAGGACGTGCCGTGTCCACGCAGGGAGGGAGGTCTCGACCGGTGGGGGCTGGCACTGGGGCAACCCCTGGCAACACACAAGGAGCCATACCCCACGGGGTGGTGTGGCAGACCCCGAGTCCCTGCTGCATTCCCGGGTGATCCTACCACGTCACGGTCTAGTACTGGTCCAACCTCTCCCCACAGGGTCGGGAACATCCTCAGTCCTGGCCCCAGGCTCGGTCCACTTTGCTCTTATTCTTTCCTGGCTACCTTAGGAGCGAGACCAAAAGCCGGAGTGGGGGGCATAGGCAGATGCTGCGTGCACTGGTTTGCCATTCAAGGGCAAAGGAAGAACCGTGACCGACGCTTCATTAAAGCAGAAGAATGGGGAAATCGCCTCTCCAACAAAGCCTCGGTTTGCACGGCGGAGATAACGAGCCAAGGCTCAGACATCCCAGAGCAGAAGTCCCCCAAGGAAGGCAACAGCAGGAGCAGCTGTCAGCGCCCAGGACTTTCTTAGCCTTGCACCATTTCATCCCCGCAGCTTCTGCACATCTAATTAAGGGCTCAAATCTAATTATAGCCCTCGCTGCTTGCTAGGGTGGGAGGGGAGGGGTGTGTGTATAGGAGCGGGGAAGGAGGCCATGAAGGGATGCTGTTCAGGGCAGCCTGGGTGTCTGGAGGGATAAAGAAGAGCGTCAGGAGCTGCAGGAGTGAGGAAAGCCAGCTCTAAATTAGGTTACTGCATCTCTTCTTTCAAGCAGGTTAGCTGGCAGAGAGACGATCCCTCCCTGCTGGGGCAGATGCGAGTGCCAGGCAATTACATCACGGCCTCAGCCCCTGCTTGCAGCAAAAGTTTCTAGCAATTGTGGCTGCAGGGTGAGGGGAAAAAGAGCTTGAACGTGACCTGAGCGGAGCTGAGGGCACCGACACATGAACGGGCTGGCCTGTGGCAAAGCGAGTTGTTTTGGTAGGAGGCAGCAGCAAACGCATGACGTGATCGCCAGGAGCGGTTCAGCCTTGCACCCGCAGCAGTGAATTTACCCCCGGATGAATCAAGTCTAGCTTTATCAGGTTTCCAAGCGCCTGCCTGTCAGCGGCTCTGCCTGCTTGTCCGTGCACGGCTGTCTTGGCATGATCTGCTCTCGGTTTATGCCTCGAGCATTGCCTCTCCCTTGATATGCCCATAGCCAGAGACAGCAGAGCCTGCCCCAGCCTGCAGTGAGGCGGCTGCTCTGTTTGCAGAAGGGATGTGCCCTGTTCTGCTCATGGAGGTGTTAACCCTAAACCTCCCTGCTCCCTGGGACCTTGAAAACTGCACCCCAGGAGAAGGCTGTGGGTCCAGGAGCAAAAGGTGGTTCGGCGAGCCCCTGAACAGAGAGAGAAGCCCCTTTGGCTGGGTGGAAGCGTCAGCCCGGAGCCTTGGTGAGGGCTCAAACACCACTGTCACTTCGGGCAGGCAGGAGGAGATCCCACGCTTTCACACTCTCTACCTTAACCACAGATGTGTCATCCCTCTCCTTTTTGTGCAAATACCTTTCCCTCCTATAAGGCTTTCCTTATGCAAGTATAAATCTCTCTTCAGATCAGATTTAATGACAAGGTATTATTAGTCCTGCTGAATAGATGGGGAAAGCAACACAGACAAAGGGGCAGTAACTTTCCACACGTCAGCACACCCAGAAAAAGGCCGGGGGGCCTGGAGTGGAGATGCTTGCTGGCAGCGCTGACCCCAGATGCTCTCGACCGGCCCCAGCGCCGCGGTAGGGGCCCAGGGGCTCCTTACCTTCATTCCTTCTGTTGTTGAGCTGGTTGAACTGCTCCGTGAACTCTGTCAGCGACTCCTCGATGGTCTCCGTCCGAGGAACCGAGAGTGAAAACCTCCGCTTGAAGTTTTTCATCTTGTTCATTTTACCTCGTGCTGCGAGGGATGGCAGAGCCCTGCAGGGGAGAGAGCAGGTTGAGAGGGCTGGACGATGCACGGGATGGCCCCCCAGCCCTGGCAGCACCCCGACCCGAATTTCCCCTGCCGGGGATCTGCAGGGGTCCCTGGGAACATCCTCTTCTCCAAGGCACTGCTGCTGTGTCAGAGCAAAAGAGAAGCCACATGGTCACCAAGGGAATCGGGTTCCTCATGTCTTTAAGAGCTGACTGTGGTCAAGAGATGCAAGGAGCTTTTTCTGAGCTAGTTACCAGAGATGAGCCCAGGGCACACTGCATCGCAAGTACCAATACAGGCTGCGCCTTACCGCATCCTTGGAAACTCCAGGAATGCCTGGAACAGGGAAAAGCAGGGTAGAAATAAAAGGAAAGCAAGAAAGAGTAAACAGTGATGGTAAAGATTGAATACCACACTCTTCCCTGTACAAGGAGGCACCGCTCCCCTGGCAGTTTGGTCTCTGCTTTGCCCTTGCACGAAAGACTTTCTGAGCCAGCAGCAAAATTCTGAGTGGGGCCAGTACTGGCCGGGGGGATCCCCAAGAGCCACGGTCAGGGGAGATGCTTCAAGCTCACAGCTTGCTCACAAGCTCTTGAATGACTCATCCTGTACGGGCATTAGAATCGCCTTAGCCAGGGATCTGATTAAAGCAATAAAACCCTTAAATGAAGAAAACCCTCAAGGGGCACATGGCGAAGCATGCTGAGTCTGAGCAGCCACGCGAGCAGGCTGAAGGAGTTCGCTCTGGGCGTCTCGGAGCCACACGCCGCTTTGCCTTTCCTATTTCGGCTCTTGCCAGGCCTGTCTGTAGCTCAGCAGCGCAGCTGGGACCGGGCTGCGAGAGCCGTCTATGGATGGTTTGGACTTCAGCACCGGCCCCGCTGCACTCAGGTGTTATTCCTCCTGCCGAGCACGGACCAAGCAAACAGCCCAGGCTCCCTGTCCCCTGGACCTGCGGACATCAGTGTCTCACCCCCAACCAGCCACAGCTCTGCCCCTTCCAGTCCCAGGCCTGAGGAGGTTCGGGTCTGTCCCTCGCCCCTTCCCAATCTGATGATGCTCCTCCACCAGCCTTTATCGCCTCAACCCTGTCTGGCGGGGGATTTTCCATTAAATGCACTGGCCTCCTTTAATGCTACTCTCACCCACCCACCCAAGGGGGATCTTAAGGGAAAGATCATCCCTTGGTACCAAAGAGGCATCAAAAGCTACCCAGAGCAGTTCTTTCCTGCACTGACATCCCGCAACTTCTCCCGCAACCCTGGAGCAGGTCGGGCCCCCCCTTACTCCTGGCTCTCCCCACTCCTTCCCAGCCCCCCCACCCGGGGGCTTATCAGCACAAACCAACGGTGATCACATTCCAGACTGATGCGATCAGACACAGCATCCGGGAGCTAATGCATCGCGTCGCCAAGGCAACGGGAACCCTTGGGTTGACACGCCTGCATCTGAAAGCTTAAAAGATTATCCGTCAGCAATATAAACACTCTGTTTGGGTGCCTGCCACGCTCTGCTGTGAGGCACGGCACCCTGCTGTGGGTGCAATCCCCTGAAAATCCCTGGGATTCACCTGAATCCTGGGGACTCACCCCCCTCAACCATCCCCACTCGTCTCCCACCTTTAATGCTGCAAAACCCTAAAGCCGAAGGCTCGCCAGCGATGCTTGTGCACCTGGAATCAGGGCTGGGGTATTTGGCTGGGGGTGGGAAGGGAGACTGGAGGCTGCTTTGAGTTGCAAAGCGAGGCAGGAGGATGCTAGACACATCCACTTCAGGCTTCAGACATTTAAATGTTTTCTCAGCACTACAGAAACATGCTTTGACAACAAAGATGTTGGCGCTAGTGAACGCTGTGTTAACAAAGTCTCCATGCTGGTGCTTTCCTCGTGGCCAAGAATAAAGTCTCCAAGCAGTGCTGTTCCTTCTGAAGGGAAGGCAAAGCTTGACACTTACCTTGGAGACCATTTTCCCAGCCCATGGCTCTGATCTGGCTCCCTACCTTGCAAGCTAAGCAAGTTTTAATCCAGACACTGCTGGCGTGTGGAAATGCCGCTACTGTTGCAGGCACCCAAGGAACTAAACAGACTTGAAGTGTTTTGCTCCAGCTGTGCATGCTGCTGAAGTGGCACTAGTAAAAGCTACAGAGGGTCCTGTGCTAGGCACCATTTTACTCCCATGCAGCAAACAGGAGCTGAGGGGAAATCCGGGATGCTCCCAGCAAGTACATCAGAGGCTCAAATAAAAGACAATCATTCCACATTAATGTTCAGATAAGCAAGTTTCCACACATCTCTGGTGAAGGTTACACTAACGAACTGCACTGGCAGCATCCCGAGTGATCCTTGCACGTGGCCGTAACACAGCAAGTGCAAGGACACACTTGCAGCAGCAAGTGCTGCAATTACCTGACTTCAAATCCACCCGAAGATACCAGGCTGCTTTCACTAGAAACTGGCAGGGAAGAGAGACAGAATTGCATGAGATTGCCCCTCACCAGCCCCCCAAGATGCTTAAATCACAGCTTGGAGAGGAAGGCTCTGTGTTTCAAGAGAGATTTAGCAATGCTGTGCACCCCTAACAGTGGATGAAAGGCTATCCAGCTCCTGGGTAACACACTTGCAGGACCAAGGAGGGCAGATCCCAACCCTGAGCACCATCCCCTTTCCTGCCCTTTTGGAAAGGGCACCCCACCTGGGACTGGGAGGGACTGGGCTGGAGGGCTGGGGGCTGCTGCAGAGCCGCTCAAGCCCCCCCGCGCCTGCCGTGCCCAAAGGACAGCAGTCACCCCGCTGCGCTGGGGACAAAGTCCCACCCTGGCAGGGAGTGAGTGGCATGGGATGCTCAAGACAGCAAGCCACACCGCAGGACCAGAAGGTCACGGGAAGGTGCTCAGCATGAGCTGCTGAGCAATTCCTGCTCTGACAATCCCCCACCGAGCCCATCCATAATGTCCCGAAGGGTCCCTGACTCCAGGACCGGGAAAGATACAGGGAACATAAAAGATCCATCTTCAGGTGAATGAGGAGGACGATGAGGGGAAGGAGTCTTTCCATCTCCCTCCCTGTCCACTCACCCTCCTCAAAAAGGTGCAAATGGTTTAGAAGGCAAACAGCTTTGCACTGACAAAAATCTGTGCTCCACAAATTCCAGTCCGAATCCTTCCCCCCCTTGCCACCTACCAGAGTGCCAGCAGCTACAGGCTGCTAAATATAAACGTCCTCGCAAAGGAAGCGGGGTGGGGGTAAAAATAGCACCGACATGGCTAGCTACCTCTCCTGCTATGCACAAGCCTGCCCTGTACTCATTATCTTTATGGCTCTGTGCAATTGTGGCTGTTTTTTCCAGCTAGACCTGGACCTACTTGGCATCTGGTGAGGGAGTTCACATTAAAGCGTTTGTCAGCTGGAATTTATGGGACTGTTCTTGTCCTCAGCCCTCCGCTCCTCCCAGAGAGGAATTTGTCCTGCCCCGAGTGGCCATTTGGATCCAGGTGCCCTAAAGCTGGGATTTGCTCCCCTCCTGCAAGCAGAGCATCCCGCGACCTGCATGCTAGAAGGCTGAAGCACATCGCATGGGGCAGGGAGTGGGGGGTCCCCGGAGGGCAGCCTCCCAGGGTGCGAGGGGCTTCGTCCACCCTCCGGCTGCATTTCTTTTAAGAGAAGGTATCCCCTTTTACAGCTGAACGGAGCAGCCCAGCCCTCTCCCACGGCATGGATTTCAAAGGAAGAATTGCTAGCGACTGCCTCTTGTTTTCCACCACGTTTCACAGTACTGGAGTAAAGGAAGCGGAGGCATTTATTGACTTTCTGAGAGAAAGTGACACTTGCTAAGCAAAGCAATGACATCACTTGTTTTACAGCCTCAAGGATCTCGAAGGGAATTACAGCAACCCCCAAACTGCAGTCACCTCTGGGATGGAAGACGCCGGCTGACTAACAACATGCAGAAACGTAACGTTGCATGGTAGGACACGACGGGTAGAAGCAGCAGTCTAAAATGGCAATAAGGAATTTAGGCATCAACAGGCAAAAATGAAATCACTCAAGTTGGAATTTGGCCAAGGAACAGGGATTAAAGCCAGCAGTGTGAATGATCTGCATTTACTGTAATGTAGTCAGAGAGTAAATACTTGGCTAAAACACTTCAAAGAGCCCAAAGCTGAATCCTGTCAGGAAAGCTCATCACATGATCAAGACAAGATGTTAATGATTCTTTAAACACTGCATTCAAAGTCGTATTTGCTGCATTAGCAATAACTGCGCTCACTATTTTTCAGCGAACTATTCCCATAGGCATTGGGGCTGTGACTATCCACATGAATCTCTCTTGCATTTGTACAGCAAAACCCGCTGGCTCTCTGCTGTGGAATTCAAGGGGCAGGTATTTTAGGCACAGACAAGCCATCATCAGTGTATGAAACTGTCCCCTTTCTCCTTCAGCTTATTGCAGGGGCTTGGAAGCAAGGCTTTCAACCAACAACCACTTTATTGCTTTTCACAAATGATAAGTGGCTCCATTTTTTTCTACCATTTTAACAGACTCCTGCCCCCATTTCCCAGCTGAAAGGGTGGAAGGCTTGGAGGGAATAGTATGGGGGTTTTAAGCCTTTTTTTTTTTTTTTTTTATCCCTAGAGAGATTAACAGTTGTGTTTACAAGGCAAAATGAACAGTCCTACTCAGCAGTTACGGCTCATGCTTCTAGCTATTAGGTAGCATTGATTCACTCCTGCAAGTATCAGAGAAATGGTGAATTCTGCTCGTAGAGCCTTATTTGCTCTGCAAACACAGCTATCATGCAATGCTGAATGTGGCTACAGGGCTAAACAAACAGAGAATCGAGGCACCGGTTGAATACGTGCCCCTCCTCACATTGCAAGGCATGGAGACAAAAGTCAGACCCAACAAAAGCTCAGCAGCGTAGCCCATGTGCCCAGCAGCCCTCTCCGCGGGCCAGCAGCCGGTCTCTCTTCT